TTGCACTTTAAGCACAGGAATAAAAAAAATGATATTTTTTCTAGACAACAGAGTACATAGAGCTAATTGAGTTATGTGTTCGCATCTGTCAACAAATAACCCAAGAATGATAGAAGTTTATTTTATTTCCGCTGCAAAAAGTTTGCATTTTTCTTGACACTGCGAAGGGCCTGACTTGCTGCAATTATTTAATTAGTTTCCACGCGTGCCTACGTCAGTACAATAAATCAATCATTCATGTATTACTCATAAGCATCCTTACATAATAACTCATATCATGCATACGTACAGACGAAATCAATAATCAATTCATTTATTTCATTTATTGCAGGAATATATATATTTTATTACACAGCAATTAATTGTAAGTATTTTTATATCGATGCAATGGGCGGGCATGCGGGTATCTTCATTTTGGCGAAACGCTTGCAAGACTCCGACACAAGCTAATTGACTGTACAATACTATAGCAAATTTAATTAATGCCACCTGCTTTAGTCAGATTTTTCTCTCGAGTGATCTTTGGATGTGTTATAAACCAAGTTAAGAGCTTAATAGAAAATTTATTACATTTCGCAATTACTTTAGCGTGTCCGTCAAATATTTCGAAGCCAACTGATCAATGTGCACCATCAGTAAGAAGTTTCCGATCAGCAAGAAATTCTGAGTCAATCTAATATTGTCCGTCGATGCGTCCATTTTGTGCCTACAGCAAATGTGAAAGGAAAAGGTTTCTCAGCGATGGCTCAATCAATCAAAATCAAATTCATAATAGACATCAATTAACATATAATATGAGTTCATAGCACACGTTCGCAAAGTGTCCAATCGTTGTAAAATATTCGTATGTTAAATCTTTCCAAAGCCTTTCAATTAACCCATCTGCTGATATAAAAGTTCTCACAAATATACCCCTATATAAGTTTCTTTGTTAATACTTGCATATTAAGAAGAAGAAAATAAAAAATGTTTTTCGAAGACAGACCTATAAATAAATTTTATGTCGCCCATGTGAGCTTATTAAAGTGTACCATGACGCTAGAATAAAAACGCACTTAAAATTCGTGCACATGTAGCAGCAGTTAGTTTAATTTATAATAAAAACATTTTCCTGTCGTATTTTCTTTCATAATTGTCTGCAGCTTCAGCATTTAGTGTTTTAATAATACGTCCTTGCATGCATTCCAACGTAGAACACCAGCACACCTCTATTGCTGTAAATTGTCGTTATTATTGCAAAAAGGCGAAAAAGGTATACTATTATAAGACATGCATTAAGAAGACATGTATGTACTGTACATGTACCCACGTGCGCAAGTATGAAATGCTGATTTTTGTGTTTTTTTTTTTTTTTTTTTTTTTTTAAACATTTTACATTAAGAAAAATGATAGCAAGTGGTTTATATGAAATTTCCTGCATTTCCATCATCATTTTTCGGGAAAGTTATGGGTACTGCGACGCTTTTGTCGTAAACTATTCTTCGAGCCATTTTTTTTCGACGAAACAAACTTGGTACGAAACAAAGCGGTGATCAGTACATGCGTGACCTGCGTTTATGCAAGGAATTTGTAATCGAGAGGAGCGCGGCCTTACAAGCGGGACGAATAGGCTACCACTTCATCCATTTTTGCGGTATTGATCGAAGAATGCCTATCGTTTAAAGAAATACGGTTTTGTTGTCTCTTTGGAAGCTCTCGCTGTTTCCTGAAGAGCAAAGGATTCAACTCGCTCGATTATTGTCGGCAGCATTTGGCATTAATCAGACTTTAGTAACACATACGGTATGCAATCTCCTTCGAGTATGCAATCGATATAAATGATGCGACATTTTTCTGCATCGCTCGGACAAAAAAGAGGATAAAAATGTTCCCGAATACACGTCATAGGGCATAAATTTCGACGTAATGAATACGGCGAAATAGTACGCAAAAAATACTTTTTAAATTTATCGTTTATGCAGATTTGACACTTGTTGGTGACGCAACAGAGTGTCAGTCATATCATCAAATCAATCAAATGTATGCGCTGCATTGATGCGCTACCCTTTTCCTTAACTCCGCACTTGAAATTTGTACACCTGGTATCTGTGTGTGTGTCTTTATATTCGTATAGGGAGCACAATGGGAAAATATAAGAAAAGTTTTTCTTTAAATAATGAAAGCAATTAAAGTTAACAAAAGAAAAATCAACTTTTTCCGCGCACATCTAAATAGAAGAAATGAAAAGAAAACACTCACACACTTATACACGTTATTGAGCGAGTTAATGTAGCAGAGAGAAGAGCATGTGAATGTAGTAGAAAGGATAAAAGCGAATGCAACACGCGATAACGATGCTTATGCTTAAGAGAAAGCGCCTCATTTTGTATACAGACAAATCAAGTCAAACGCAAACAAAACTTATAAAAGCACTAGCATGACTGCAATAGAAAGGAGAATAAAAAAAAAAACCATAAGTTTACATGCATATGTTAATGCATGAATGTATATGTATAGGTATTACATGCACCCATCGACGTACATCCATACGATTCATTTAAGCGTAAAAAAAAAAGATTTTAATTCAGATGCTCTATCCAAGTTAACCACTCCCCCTAATACGTTTGAGCAATTCAAGTGCAATCAAGTGCAATTTATCTATTGTATGTATGTATGCATGTAGGTATCCTTCTACGGCTGAGAGTGTGTACACATTCGCAAACGGCATAATGTTAAAGTCGGGAAAATAATATTAAAATAACAAAAAAAAAAAAAAAAAAAAAAAGAATTGAATTTCAAAACAAATTTAACCCAAGAAATCAAACGATAAGAGAAATAAAAATTGAATAAAATGATGATGAGCATTATTGCATACATTTATATGTATTTTTGAAATATATGTATGTATGTATGTATTATATGTATACATATATGTGTGCATATTTAGAAGATTACGATACGAATTCCTTTTATACATAGAACGTAAGTAAGCGTCGTGTGCGTGTGCGTCGTAGGTAACGTACAATGTGAGGTTATTTGAGAACAAATGATTGGATAAAAGTATGCGCTATGTTCTTAGGACAATGCTAAGCATCTTAACTACCAAACACGACATTCGTTTAAATCCTCTTAGCATTGTAAAGCATGTGACTCCGAAAAATTAATCGTGTTTGTCTGGGCAATAATGAGCCAATTTACAGTTCAGTAAACGCAACGAATCTATGCAACAAATAACTGTTTTCAATAATTTACGGAAAATGTTACCTAAAAGGTGGTAAGTAGAAGACATTGCCGTCCCCACGAAAAGCTTCATCCAAACCGCGTTGAACAAAGACGAGCGCTTTTCAATTAACCCAATAAGCATCTACATGCGTGTACATCATAGTTTAAGAACTAATGACTGTATTTGCATCCTTGAGATACGTGTTGGCACATAAACTGTTTATCAAAATAATTTAAATTGCATTTCCCTTGGCCCTCCCCTTCTTTATAACAGTATTTAAATAGAGCATGAAATTATCTGATATTTTTTAGTGTTATCCGATATATCTCTTTTTCTTTTTTGTATTACTTTTCTTCTCATATTTTATTTGATTATTATTTGTATTTTTGTTTTTTCTCCTCTCAGCTAAATGCAGTTTCCTCTTTCAATACAAATAGATGTAATTTATAAAATGTTTTTTATTTCACTTTATAAGCTTACATTTGTTCGTGTACGTTATGTGCCTGTCTGTTCATGTATACACTCTCAATTGCGCATAATTTCACTTGAATGCATCATTCATTCTTGTTGTTCTCACATTTGCTGTTGATTTTTGCATTTTGACGTTTAGTCATTTCGTTTGTAACACGCACGAATACTTAATGAATGCGTTGAGGATGGTAACTGTTGCACAAAGATGAAACAGATTACTGCACCAATCAAGCCCTTTAATAGGACTACTCAGTATTCTCGCCTCAACCTTTAAACGCACTGCCCGTTCTTAGAATAAACTACGACCGCACGTACAGCAGCGTTCCGTTCCGAAACTTTTCACTCTAAAGACGAAAGTACAGAAATACTGATGCCGTTGTCCTTCTTTCTCCTCTTTTCACGTTTGCCTGACACACGATGTATAGAGTGCATTCCTTTAGTGAGTTATACAGGCGAAAATGAGTAAATCTCTTGATAACTTAATCGAAAAAGTAAAACTCGAAAAACCCAACCTTCGAAATATTCGAGTTTTGTTTTTTAAATGGCGATCTAATATTCAAAATCGTACTTAAGCCGTGTCTGAGGAGGTTTGAGCAAAATGTTTTATGCGCCAGGTACTTCTTCCACTTATAAAACCATTCATTACCTCTTTAATTAATTCGAGATTACGGTATTGTGCGATCATACTTTTAGTCCAGCAGTGTTTGCTCGGTTGTTTCTTAGTAGAAAAAAGGGCATCATTTCATTAAGGGAATAAGTTTATCCTGTGAGTCCCATGAAAACTTTGACAATTCTCCTATAGAGTAGGCAAAAAAGGTACAAGTGATTCGAGGTGGCCTCAATACAGTTTCTATTGCTTTTTTGTTTTACTTTGTCTTGTTTTCACTGCAAAGTTGTAAAAGGAAGAAATCAATTGCGCACAAAAAAAAATCAAAAGTTTAATGTCGTTCGATTGCAGTCGAATTGTTGATGGTTCGTGTATCTACTACTTGAGGACAAAAATAGACTAGTTTTGTGATTCAATTTGCAAGAGCAAGCGTTAGGAGTCTTATGACTTTTACATTGCTTGATCGGTTTATGATTCTTAATTCATTTTTTCATTTGCTTGGCGGTGTTTGTTGTGTTAACGTCAGGAAATTAATGAAAATTAATTTCAGGTAGATATCTTTTCATGGTTCCACAGCAACTATTCAAAATATTTTCAAAAATTTCTCATTAATCATTTGTGGCGCATGTCTGCGCAAGAAACGCATATAAAGATAATGCTAGCCAAGCCTCTAGCCTACTTATAATTAATGACAGTACTTTCTCTTTCGTATCAACTTACCTGGTGATCCAACGTTCACACCAAGTCGAACATTGCTTGCTTTCTTTTTTCGCTTTTCTTTTCTGTTTCGTTTCGTTTATGAAGTTCGCCAAATATTCATTGCGTACAGAAACTCCTTCTTTTCAGTTCGTTACTGTTCGATTCCATTCAAAATTCGGCCGAATCAATTCGCAGAGGTATTATTAAGAGTAACCTGAAAATTAAAAATTTGTCAGTTTGTCAGTTTGTCCAAACATGTAATAATTTCTCTGTTACGTTGCGCCTGTGTATTATGTTATAGTTTTTGTGTAAATAATGGGAACGCAGCGCTTTATGCCATAAATGGGTAGGTTTCGAAAGTGGCATACAAACTGAATATTTCAAATTTAAACTACTATTGTTGCAATTTCACGTTTAGTGATTTCGCAAATTTATCACTCAACAATTTATTTTATTTGTTTGCATGTGCGTTAGAGAATTCAGTTTAATTTTTTATGGGATAAAGTAAATTATATTAAATCAAATGTTTTCCATTCATACATTGCCACCTGCGTTAATGTTGAGCATTTCCTTGTTGGACTTTGCAAGAAAATCTCTTTTGCAGGCTAGCATCGTTAAATTGAATCCAACTAACTTGGAACTCTTATTTTAATATTGCATTCTAGGGGACAATGTCAACATAATAAGTCTCACTCACTTTCATTGAAAAAATTAGACTATAATTGCGTGTTATGCTAGTGCTAGGCTAGTGAAAGCAGCCAAGACTTCTGCCGCAAGATAGCTCGAACTAGCTCGAAGGCAAGCGACTGCTACGATTTCCATTTTTATTAATTCAAGCAAAATTATATTAGATCTGATAATGTCCATCAGTGCTTTCCGTTTGTTTTCTTTTGCCAACAATATAAGGCAGCACTTCAAACGTAGCATAAGTAAATTGCAATAAAATCTATACGCTTACAAACCATTAATGCAACATACCGTATGGAGATCATTACAAATAGTCAGCGTGAGCCAGTGAAGTGCTAACACACAACTACATCGCATACTCGAAAACCACATTAACTTGTAAAATGATTTGATTAACTTCTGACCTTGTCTTGACGAGAGGACAATTCCAAGATTAAGATTGATGTGTGAGGCCAAGCCGAAGATTATAATTAGATACATAGCGGAGTCGGACTCGCTGTGCACGCTAATCAAACGCACTGATAATTTTTGAGATCTGCGCCGCATATTTCCATTAGTTATCAAAGTTTAATAAGCTTAACGAAATCTCTACCTTGGTAGGCTTAGTATGTTAATCTTTAAGCAAAAGAACAATATTAACGGGATGCTATTGCTTGGATTCAGTAGTTGTTAAGAAAACCTACTGACATTGTGCAAAGATAGGCTTTTAGAAAATATTGAAATGTCTTTTTGGACCTATGGAATATGGAGGCCGCAAGTCTCGTCCTCCATAATTGAATATCTAGTATGTACGGGCGCACATAATTAGGTTAGAAAAACATAGAAGAAAAATGAAATGCATAAGTAGTCATTTGTAACTGGTGGGTAATCTTGTGCACTTAAATGTGACTAATTAAGTTGTTCGGATATGTGAACGTATGTGCACGTATGCGCGCGTATGTATACATATATATATATATATATATATATATATGTGTGTGTGTGTGCAAGTCTCCATGAAGTGTGGCATGAAGTTAAAATACTAAACAGCCATATCAACGTTTACATGCAGGCACGTCCAACGGTGTTCCACATTTGAGCACACAGACGCTCACATATCTCTATATGCCTTTGTAATAAATAGGATTATGTATAACCGACATTAAATGTGGCCAACACAGCAATTTATCGGAAGACATAACTAAGTGAATGGCCTGACAGACTGACCAGCTTTTCAATGTGCTTTTGATGGCAAGTAAATGAACGGATAGTGGAATATTATTTAAACGTGCATGACTATGTGTGTGCTTGAGTGCTTCGGTATACATACTTGCATTCTTTGAATCTATTAAATTCAAATTTTTATATATGTATGGCTTCAAGTAGATATTATTTATATTATAAACATTCATTTTTAGAACCGGCTCTTGCCCTTTTCCACAACATATCAACATAAAACCCGTCACATACACACGTGTTAATTATTTATTTTTATTCATTCATTCTCTCATATCGTTCATATGACTCACTCACTTCACTTACTTATAAATTGTTTTAACGTACATTACATTAAATGCGCACGCATACGCACACACTTGAACATGACGGCATTAGTTCCGCATCAATAGAAATTAATGTAATTTTAATTAAATCATTTAATCGCTAGTTTGAGGCGGCCACAGAACCAACAAAGATAAATTAGTTGACTTATAAAACAGAGAAAGTAATAAATGAAAACTAAGGCCACGAAGGTATATAATGAGATAATAAAAAAGACAAAACTAAATATTAATAATCATTATATTGTAGGTCATGATGAAACTAATTGGTAGTCGGCGGAAGAGAAAAAGCGAGAAGAATACCGAGAGATAAGCGAAAGGAGAAGAAAATCTGTTCTCATTTTCTTCTGAAGCGCACTATTGCTTTAAGAGATATATAATATTCTGGCCATAAAATGATTAAAGTTGTTTCATGTATGTCTACCGTACTGAAGCGTACTTTAGTTCCATTCTAATCTTTGATGGAAAATGAAACGTTTACGTTATAAGAAAAATCGAGCTGTTGTTATTTGTGAAAAGGCCCAGAAGGAACGCGTAGCTTAAAAATCATGTCAATATGAACGGGGCGATAGGAAGGGACGAATGTTTTATTCTTTTTAATTCAAATCTGTCGTTGGGCAGAAGTGTACTCATCTTATCTGGTGCTTGGCATCTATTTGCATGAAATCAATGGCATTCAGAGATCTGTCATTGTATTGGGTACTTTTGGAAATCCAAAATACTTTGTTAATAGGCTTCACCTTTAGCCGAAATAATAGCTAGATGGGAAAAGTTGGGTTAAATTGCAAGCTCTTGGAGACGTCTCAAATTTTCCTTGAATAGATTGTGAATTTTTGCAATCTTTCGACTAATGAAAGGTATACTGGACAATAAAATGAATACATTTAAAGAAGTTTTCCTTTTTCTTTACACTTTTTAAGGTTTCTTTGCGTACTATTGATTGATTATATAACAATTGATTTCAAAATATCGTTGCATTTTATTTGCATTAATCCTACAAAAGTAAATTTAAATATTACGTAAAGGCAGGGAAGGACAAGTGACTGCTCTTTGGTTTTGCATACGTAGATACACCTATAATGCATTCCTAGTTTCATTAAAGACGTGCCTCCACGTGCTACCGCAAAGTGTCACGCTTTTATAACTTTGTAACATACTTTAGCCAGTGTTTCACACGCCAATTTTTCGTTTCTGATTATATGTCGCGCTCAATGACATCTTAACATCAAATAGGACCACTTCGCTTATGGACACATATATTCACACGTATCACACACGCACAATCTCTTAGCAACCCATCTAAACGTTCTGTTCTGTTTGTGTAATTTCTCTTCTCTCACTGTGTAAAACTTTATACTTAAGAAACACACATATAAGTTGAATGCAGAGGTATATGCAAGTGTTTGAGTTGTATTTGTATGCATTGTACGTGTTTAGAAAGTGTCATTTTGTGCCACTTAGTGGTTGGCATATGCTACTCATTCACATGCTTACTACTTCATCTGCTGCTGCTGCTGCTGCTGCGGCTGCTGCTGTTGCCGTTGCCGTTGCCGCTTTTCTATGCGACCGTAGTTTGATTTTTGTCTCTTTTATGGTTCTTCTTCATTTTTCTTTTCTGGGCTGGCGTTTGCATGTGCACGCTGATTCATTTCTCTCTCTTTGTATACTGTTGATATCCCTACTCGCTCTCGTATTTATTTTACCATGACTTAACCACGTCAGCGTTCGTGTGCTAATGAAGGATTCCGTTTTAACTGTTTAAATATTCAAAGCATGACAGCTTAGTACAACTTAATAATAAACGATTTAATGGTTGACATGTAGATACATATGCATGTGTTTGAGTGCACTGCTATATATGGTCTTCAAACGTTTACCATTTACACTTGCATCACATTTAATACGTTTCATATACTCTTCGATAGATATTTTTCCCCTTTCTTAGTGCACCCCATCAAAGCCCCAAAGTGTCGGTATACTAAGTTGAGCAATCGGTGTGCAATGCTCACGACTTTTCCATACTAAATATACTCTAAGCGCAAAGATATGCCAACAAAATATATCCAAGCAAATTTAGAATTAAAATTCCGCTATTTCTCACTATTAACCGATTCCAATCAATAAATATAATAAATACAAGCGTAAATAGGGAAAGGATTGAAGCAAAAGTTTGTTTAAAACTCTTAAGACGGTCGTCTTAAGTTCATTTAATAGCATACGTAATGTGACGGCAACCGAAAAAGTTGGTCGTACCACTGCGATCTACTTGAACCTAACTAGGTTTGAGGGAAGCCTTAAACTGTACACGTTCTTGATCTTAGCGTAAGATTGAACTTGCTTCAAAGAGTTCCTGGTGGGTATCAAAAATTCTTCTAAACTTTCTTTTGCTTCTTTCCTTTTTTTGCTTCTCAACTCCCACTTTAGAGAGAGAGAGAGAGAGAGAGAGAGGGAGGGAGGGAGAGAGAGAGAGTTTTTTTTATAAATTGTTTTTTTTTTTTTTTTTTTTTTTTTTTTTTTTGTTGCAAAATGATGAATTTTTGATTTGAAGATTAATTGAAGTTTCTCGTAAAGTAATTTAGAAACTAATTAAATTTGAATAGATTTGCGTGTGCAAGAGTACATTTGAGTCGTAAGATGAAAGTTAAAGGATGATGCTGAGTGTAATGAAAAAATAAATATTTTACTACAGTCTAAGCGATCTATTTAGGAACGTGTCCGTAGAATGCTTGATGTAAGTAAAGCTTCCTTCTAAAATATCATGTACTCTTGTTAAGAAGATGACCTAAAATTTGACGTCTTTATATTAAGTGATGAAAACATAACGTTTTAATAGAATAGTGGTAAAAAGGAAAGTTTTCTTTGCTACAAATGCCGTTATGTAGATAACATTGGTTTTAAAATTTACAGAACTGAATGACCCGTATTTTTGTCTTGTCCTTTCACGTTTCCCGTATGTTCAGCTTTATGCTTGTTTTAGCTTAGAGGAGCA